CAAAATTCTAACAAGAATATGCCAACAGATATGGAAACAAAACAGTGGCCCACAGATTGGAAATGTTTAATGCATATTCCAAGAAGAGAGACACCAATGAGTGCGATTAGATTAGACTAAATTAGATTAGGCATCCTTCAATCTCAAGAGACTGTGACTTAGAACAGTGTCTGGTATGGCTGAGGAGGCCAATTCAGGAGTGACAGACCCTTCCACGCTGAAGACAAACACAAACTGTCCCCTGTCCTGCTCCCTGATTTTGCTGCTTTCGGACTGCCTCTTTGCCTCAGCATGCTGGACAAGTGTCTCTTCAAATTGGGAGAGGCCGTAATGCACCACCTGCCTCCAGGCAGAATGCTTGGATGTCAAGGTTTCCCATCTGCTGAGGTCCATTCCTAGGGCCTTCAGATCCCACTTGCAGATGTCCTTGTATCACAGCCGTGGTCTCCCTCTGTGGTGCTTTCCCTGCACTAATTCTCCATACAGGAGATCTTTTGGAATCCGACCGTCAGCCATTCTCATGACTTACATGAGCCAACGTAGATGTCACTGTTTCAGTAATGTATGCACGCTAAAATTTCCAGCTCATTCTAGGACTACTCTGTTTGGAACTTTGTCCTGCCAGGTGATACCAAAAAAGCATTGGAGACAACGCATATGGAACATGTTCAGCTTCCTCACCTGCCGTGCACAAAGGATCCAGGACTCGCTGCAGTACAGGAGTGTGTTCAGGACACAGGCTCTGTAGAACTGGATCTTGATATATGCCATCAGCTTCTTATTAAGCCATACTCTCTTTGTAAGTCTAGACTCTAGAGAACATGGTAGCTGCTTTGCCAATGCGTTTATCTAGCTTGACATCTAGAAAGAGTGTGTCAGAGATCATTGAGCCAAGGTACACAAAGTCATGAACAACTTCCAATTCTTGTGTAGAGATGGTAATAGATGGAGGTGAGTCTACACCCTGGCCCATGACTTGTTTTCTTCAAGCTGATTGTTAGTCCAAAGTCTTGGCAGGCCTTGCTAAAATGATTCATGAGTTATTGGAGGTCTTCAGCAGAGTGGGCAACAATAGCTGCATCATCGGCAAAGAGGAAGTCCCGCATACATTTCAGTTGGACTTTGGTCCTTGCTCTCAATCTAGAGAGATTAAAGAGCTTTCCATCTGTTCTAGTCCAGAGCTAGACACCTTCTGTTGCAGTTCCAAAGGCATGCTTCAGCATGACAGCAAAAAGATCCCAAAAAGGGTTGGTACAAGGACACAGCCCTGTTTCACTCTGCTTTGGATATCAAAGGGATCTGATGTTGAGCCATCAAAAACTACAGTGCCTTTCATTCCCTCATGGAAGGACCTGATGATGTTAAGGAGTTAAGGTGGACATCCAGTCTTGGGAAGTATTTTAAAAAGGCCATCCCTGCTAACCAAATCAAAGGCCTTTGTGAGATCTATGAAGGCCACAAAGAGTGGCTGTTGTTGTTCCCTGCATTTCTCCTGCAACCATCTGAGGGAGAATACCGCGCCAGTGGTGGATCTATTACCTCGAAATCCACACTGTGATTCTGGATAGACTCTGTCTGCAAGAACCCGGAGTCTCTTCAGCACAACAGGGGCAAGCAGCTTCGTTACAACACTGAGAAGAGAAATGCCATGGTAGTTACTGCAGTCGCCCTTGTCTCCTTTGTTCTTATACAATGTGACGATGTTTGCATCCTTCATATCCTGTGGTACTCCTCCAGCAAAGACAAAAGATTTCATACAACTCGGTGGTGATGATCTCTTTACAGCACTTCAGCACTTCAACTGGGATGTTATCCTTCCCAGGTGCCTTGCCGGAGGCTGTTATTTCTGCTAAAGTTGGTTCAGTGTCCAGCTCTTCCAAGACAGGCCGTAGCTATAAGACTATTGCATTAATTTTCTTGAAATCAATATGGTGCTCAAAGACTTGTACCAGGCATGGAGGGGAGAATACCAGGTTATTCAAACTGGATTTAGAAAACAAAGAAGCACAAAAGATCAAACAAAAAATGTACATTGACTATTTAACTAGAAGTTGAATCATGGCAACCACTTAATACAGTGGTGCCTCGCTTTACGATTGCCCGCATTACGACAAATCTGCTTAACAACGATCTTTTTGCGATCGCAAAATGATGGTCTAAATGGGGGCATTTCACTTTGCGATGATCGGTTCCCTGCTTCGGGAACCGATTCTTCACAAAATGATGTTTTTAGAACAGCTGGTCGGCGGTTTCAGAATGGCCACCGGGTAATTAAAATGGCTCCCCGCTGTGTTTAGGGACAGATTCCTCGCTATACAGGCAGCGAAAATGGCCGCCGTATGGAGGAACTTCACTGGACGGTGAGTTTTTACCCCACTGGGACGCATTGAACGGGTTTCGATGCGTTTCAATGGGGTTTTCTATTTCGCTTTACGATGTTTTCGCTTAACAGCGATTTTCCTGGAACGGATTATCGTCGTTAAGCGAGGCAGCACTGTAGGTTGAAATGCTTTGCAACTCATCCAAGTAGCTTCTTCAATCTGAGGACAGTTGGTACGAGACTCCTGATATAGCCTCCACTTTGGTTTCACTTTCCCCTGGTCTGAATAAGCTCATTAGATGGACAAAGGACAGGGGGTAAGTGAAAATTCTACTTCTGCAGTTCTTCTCCACCCATTGTCATAGGTCGTTAACAGTTGGTAACGGTGGTCTTTCTGGTGTGTGTGGTCCTGATCTTTCTGAGAATAGATGAAATGGCAGCATGATAAATAGTCCAGTTCCCATGGCTCAACTTCCAGATAACCTCACCTGGATGACTGAGAATCTTCACAGATATATTGACTATTGAAGTTGTAGTTTCTTTTTAAGTATAGTTTGTTTTTAGAAGAAAGTTGATTTGTGCTCTATAAATGGCAGTGAATCATTTAATGTGTGGATCATGAAAAATTGAGGGACTTCTAAATGAAATAGATGGGCAGCAACATTTGTTTGTCATGATATACAGTGGTGCCCCGTATAGCGAGGTTAATCCGTTCCGGATTAACCCTCGCTATACGGAATCATCGCTAAACGGGTAGGGGAAAGGTATCCAATCCCTTCGTTACTTACCCGTTCAGCGAGGATTCCAGGTGCCGGCAGCCATTTTCGCGCCTTCGCTAAGCGAGGGCAGGGTGCGAAAACGGCTGCCGGCAGCCATTTCCGGGCTTCCGGCAGCCATTTTGGAACCGCCGATCAGCTGTTCGGCGGCTCCAAAATGGCCGCCGCAATACCCAATCTTCGCAATGCGGGTTTTCCCCATTGCGAAGATCGGGTATGTTTCCGTATAGCGATCCCGAAAAAGGGATCGCTATACGGAAACATCGCTATACGGTGCACTCGTTAAGCGAGGCACCACTGTATAACCTATACTCAGGGCAAGAGGCTTGTGTTAGGACAGAATATAGAGAAACAGAATGTTTTCCGTGATTCAAGTATCAGACAAGGGTATATTTTATCTCTCTATTTCTGTCTGCTCTATTTAAAAGCAAATGAAACAATACACCATGTGACAATCCAAATACTTTACAGTTTCTTTTGCTTTTTGTCATTCTGGTTCTTGCAATTCACTCTTCCATTCCACCTCATCAAATGAGATCAATACGGGGTGGCAGTATAGAGGGAGAGAAAGGAGTTGAGTAGATTCTTGCATACTGGGTTGAGATGCCTGTTACAGGAATATGTTGGCCAGTTCTAGGTTCAGTATTTACACATATGGAATTGTGGAAGCTTCAGCAGCAGTCTGACAGGAAACGTCATATGCATATGTGACAAGCATCTCGTCAGATTACTAAGGCAGTTTCTACAGTATAAGCTCCATGCATATGTAAATATTGCAAAGGATACTGGCTGTTATAGGCTTTCCACCTAAGATTGGTGACATCCAGTGCTATGCATGCTACCTTAAACTGTTGGCAGCACAGAGCAACATTGACAGCATGACCTAGATTGAAGAAAAGTGAGTAAATGGAGGCTGCCTTAATCGCAAGTGCCCTCTGAGACACAGCTTTCCCCTCCATTATACTTTACTAGGCATCAAAAAACCCTTCTTGGAAACAAACTTTAGAAAGTGATCGTTGAAGTGTTTTTTCCTGACCCTAGCCCCCCCACTTTTCAATAACATACCAGATCCTTGGATTTTTATAAAAAATTCTATTACATGCTAAAATAAATGACCCCCTCACAAGTTAAAAGACTGTGGGGAAATAGTGGCTTCCCAGTAAATAGTCTGCAAGGCCTCCAGATTTATTTCTCTTCTCCAATATAGATGGGGAGCAAAACTATAGTAATCACTATAGTACTATAATAATTTGCCACACAACTAGTTCCGGGTAGCCAGGCACCCCAGTAAAAAGAAATGGATCCACTTGTCAAAGTGACTTCTGTACATTCATTATGTACATTTGCTGTCTATCTGCACTGTGTTGATTTTTATGGAGTTCTTAGATATTTGGATATGCAGCTCTTGCCATCCCTGTTCCAAGAAGGAGGAATGTACCTGATTTCTCTTCTGTTCAATCCATTATTTTTCTTGTGTCAACTTCAAATTGTGAGACTATTGGTGAATACTGTTGTTTTCTAGTCCTTAGTTGTGAATAATATAAGTAATATAAATATTAATTAAAGGCTTTTTGCTATCAGTAACCATCGCGTGGTTTGCCACACTAATGCAATCTGTTACAATAAATTAATGAATAATGATTGCTGTTACAATTGGAACATGATGAAGACTCTTTTATGACAGTGGCTAGATGTTGAAAGCACTAGACTAGAAGTGTTTCTCTTCTTGCATTGTCTTCAGATTTTAGTAGTATCACAGAGCTCCTTCACTTCTTATACTTTTTTAGTATGTTTCTTCAGGGTAACAGAGCTATAGATGCAGAATCCTGAGAGAGTAAGTTGAAAATACAAGCAAATGATTGCAACTTTCTAATTTATTCACTCTCTTTTATTTGAACATGCAGGACTGCTCAACTTCCGAAGAGTACAATATCGCTGCACCACTGCTTCCACTAACAACTGCTTTTTATAGGGTAAGTTGTGGATCAGATATTGTTGTGTCTTCTGCTGATATAGCAATATTTTGCAGCCCTAAGAGACAGTGAGGGCATTATGTAGATGGAAGGAGAAACATGGGACGTTCAGGCTGATTTGAATTAAGTTGTTTATCTCCATGCTTCTTTTAAATTGCCTTTTCATATTATTTTTATATTTCCTGATAACTGTTCTAGTAGACTTAGGTTTTGAAGATGAAAGACAGTATTTATTTTTTAATTTGGAAACGGATAAGGAACAATTACCAAGAGTCATATTGCCCGTGCACCTGGACTCTTTTTGGTGTAGAATGCAGATTGTGAGGAAGAATAAAGCATTACTTCTAGGGAAATGCATGGTGAAACTTTTCACATTTGTTGAATTCTAATTCTTTTTGGGGGAAGGCGCCTCTTTCATGTTCATGTTTTTAATGCACTTATCTTCTAGTTTAACATGAATGGGACCACTACTAAGGTCATTTCATTTCGGGTTTTTCTCCATTTGTATTGGACTGGCACTACTCCAAAAAACCCCTAAAGAATCTTTTAAAACTACTCCAAAAGAGCAGAGGCAATGCAACAGAGAATCAGTCTGCTCCAAAAGCAGGCAACAGTATAACGGGGGGAAAATAATCCGGACAAGAAGAGATAAATGTCCCAAGCTATGTCCATCCAACAGCAACCACTATCCACACTGTCCAGTGAACACTGGCACAGCCAAAAAATTCCATCACTTCTGTCACACACACCCAAAATGAAACCAAACAGTCCCCAAACACCCCATCAAAATAGACAAAATAAATGCACAATAAATTAAACAAATAACAAATTTTCAAAATCAGTCTAACAGAGAAAGCAACACTGAAACACAGAGAAAGGGGGGAAAGTAGCAATATTTTTAAAAAACCTTTCCCCCCAAACCAAGAAAAGCAAGCTAGCAAATAAAAGCAAAGCTGTCCCCCATCAAACCTACTAGAATATGGGGAGAGCCCCTCCCCATGTTATTTACTAGAGTTACACTGTGCTTGTAATGAGACTTGTAAATTAAATGAAGCTTAGACTCATCTCAGAATGAGATGTAGCTTCAGGTTCTCCCTAAAGTCTTTTTTTTTAACTACTACTATCCATTATCACTAAAACCATTTATTAATAAATTTTCAAAGGTGCTTTCCATTATTTATTAAGTTGCCCTTTATATGAATGCCCCAGAAGTCAACTTCATGCTGGCATTCTCAGATTCATGTGTGATAGACCACCTCCAGCTCAACTTTGTACACTGCTTTTGGGTAGGGATGTAACTGCTACCTATCGAGTAGAAAAAATTGCTTTGGCAGCAAAGAAAATACATACCTAGAATCAAAAATCCTAAGAAAGAAGGGATTTTTCCGGGTATAAGATGATACTTTTCTCTAAAATATTTAGATTAAAATTTTAGGGTTGTCTTATACATGGAAGTAAGGAAGGGAGAGGGATCAAAGCGCTTTGATTCCTGCTTTCCCCCTCCACTTTTTGCAAAGAACGTGGAAGGGGAAAGTACTTTCCTTGCAAGTGCTTTCTTGCTTTCTTGTGAATAAGGTGCTTTCCCCCTCCACTTTCCTTGCTAGAAAGTGGAGGAGGAAAGCAGGAATCACCTTGATGAATCGCTTTGATGTTTCCTGCTTTCCCCCTCCACTTTCTTCCAAAGAAACTGGAGGAGGAAAGCACTTTCTAAAGTGCTTTCCCCCTCCACTTTCCTCGCAAGAAAGTGCTTTCCCCCTCTACTTTTCTCTCTAGAAAGTGGAGGGGGAAAGCAGGAATCAAAGTGCTTTGATACCTGCCTTCTGCCTTCACTTTCTTGCAAAGAAAAAGAATCTGGGTTAGAAAAGTGGGTGTGTGTCTTATACGTAGGGGCATATTATACACAGAAAAATACAGTATGTCATGGGGTCAATGCAGTTTTGTGTTGCTGTTGATATTGTGGTGACCTATGCTTTTAAAGTATAAAGCTTGTTCTGTTCTAATAAATTCAATAAAGGTAACTGGCCTGAAATTATTGAAATTTTCTATTATTCAAATATTAATATTAATACAAAATGCTATATAGTAGTTGGTAAAACTGCAGGTTAACTCGGTAATCCAAAAAGTCTTTGTCAGGATGATGAAGCCTGTTTGTATCAAAACTTTTTGTTTAGAGGTAATACACACACAAAATTAAAATAACAAGAAAATACTATGTTTACAACATATTGTGGCTCTTGTGATGTCCAGTAAAATTCCAGTAGTTAATACCCAATGACTAGGCACATACAAAACCTGAGAAGACAGGATGTGACTGAAGATTTCCACAGGCTTGGTAGCCGTCAGCATTAAATTCATGGGCAACAAGTCAGTACATCGAATGCATACTTGTGGCCTGAAAAATACCTTACAGTCCCCCAGCAATGAGCATCACTCGTATCTTCTCTTTGCTTAATTTTATATTACTTAGACATAAGTAATCAAAAGAGTGTGATTCATCTAAATCAAGAGGCGCACTCTTCATTGTGTGTAGTAATGTCCTGGAGAAGCAAACAACTTTAACCTCTAGGGCAGAAAACAATGTTTCTATTTACCATTAGTAATACAGTTGGAATTTGTTTAAAATACAAATAACAAGCAATTATACTTGGGATACAATGTTTTCTGCCTTTATGATTTAAGATGGCCTGCTTTGTTAATTTTCCAGTATTACTTGTTAAAAGAATGCTGTAGCAATTTGTTGCATATTGAATGTATGCACATATTTATGCTAAGAATACTTCTGTGTCTAGAATACATTCCTTTTTCTTTCTAAAATCTACATTCTGACCTGCTTTGGGAACAGGACAACTTGTGTTGCCCTCTGGTGGGAAGTGGTCAAGGAAGTGTATTCCTGTTGATTCTTTTTCCCAAATTATTTTCAATGCAATACAAAATAATATCCTTCTAGATCACCTGAGCAGGATATGGTTTTGGGCACTGTTTTGATTCCGTCTGGAAAGCAGATGCCAGATGATGCTGGGGGGCTATTACTTTTCATCATAGATTTGAATGAGGTCAATGAAGTTACATGGTGATCTATTTTGCACTCCACCCTGTTATCCTAGATTTGTATATATGAACCTCTGCATGAAGCTGTTATGAACCTCTGGGAACGTTGCCTGGAGATTTGGTATGTGGTATGGTACAAATGCATCAATAACATCCAGCTCCCTCTGCTTTCCTTTGGATTAAGGGGAGCCTGTGGAGATCTTAAATGAATGTCTGAGATCAGTCATTGGCCAGTTGTTAATGCTTAAAGAAGACGAAGATTTTTGGCAAAATGAAAAAATTAAAAGTTGAATCAGTGCTAGGTATACAGGCTCTTAGATGAGGTTGTTGTCACCTTTAAGAATCAGCTCTGCAATTTGGGAGTGCTTCTGAAACTAGGATTGTTCCTACTATGCCTAGTTGTGGCAGAAGCATGTTTCCTTGCTAAAACTTGTGGCAGCTATGCCATTTCCTGAAAAGGAGATATCTGGCCCCTATCTCATACATCTTTGTAACATCTGTGATGTTAAGAGTCTATTACTGTAGGTTTAACAAAGAGTTCTTGCCTTATGAACAAGTTTCTAACCTGCCTCTCCTAAGGGCAAGAAGCAGTGGTGAGTCAGGTTAATGTCAAAGAGTTATGATGAACTAAAAACATTTTAAGGCATGTTTGTTTTCTGTTCAGTTGGCATCAAAATCACAGAATGTGCATTAGGACAGTAATACATTGCAAGTACAGGATAAACAACAAAGTGAGAGAGTGAATAGAAGAGGATAATGTAAGGTTTGTGTGGTTTGTTCAGGGATAAGCAGCCAGAAGCTCAGTCACAACATAAATAGATTCTGGGAAGAGTTTAAGAAAAGAGACTGCATTATTCTCTTGCATTGGAAGAAGATCCATTAATAAAGGACAATAGTGAAAAACTGACCTGGTCTTTTAAGAAAACAGGTGAGACAGAGTGGCTAACAACAGTGGAGGAATGATAGGAAGGAACAGGATTAAGGCAAAGGTGAAAAACATTGTACTCTGTGAAGGAAAGAATGAGAATGTGTTGTAAAGGAGGATGTTCTATATGCAATGTAATGGTTAAATTTGAGCAGTGGAATTTTAAGAAGTTTTGAGAAGGCTGAATTTTGACAACATGGGTTTCTGTTAACCCAGCTCACCTTCCAAACAAATATAAGGATAAAAAAATACTTCGGTATTTGTTGTTTAGTCGTTAAGTTGAATCCAACTCTTTGTGACCCCATGGACCAGAGCATGCCAGGCCCTCCTGTCTTCCACTGCCTCCCGGAATTGGGTCAAATTCATGTTGGTGGCTTCAGTGACACTGTCCAACCATCTTATCCTCTGTCATCCCCTTCTCTTGCCTTCACACTTTCCCAACATATGGGTCTTTTCCAAGGAGATTTCTCATGATATGGCCAAAGTATTGAAGCCTCAGTTTCAGGATCTGTTCTTCCAGTGAGCATTCAAGGTTGATTTCCTTCAGAATGGATGGGTTTGTTCTCTTTGCAGTCCAGCGAACTCTCAGAGTCTCCTCCAGCACCACAATTCAAAAGCATCAATTCTTCGACAGTCAGCCTTGTTTATGGTCCAGTTCTCACTTCCATACATCGCTACTGGAAAAGACATAGCTTTGACTGTGCAGACCTTTGTCGGTAAAGTGATGTCTCTGCTTTTTAAGATGCTGTCTAGGTTTCTCATCACTTTCCTCCCAAGAAGCAGGCGTCTTTTAATTTTGTGGCTGCTGTCACCATCTGCAGTGATAATGGAGCCCAAGAAAGTAAGATCTGTCATTGTCTCCATATCTTCTTACCCTTCTATTTGCCAGGAGGTGATGGGACCAGTGGCCAAACAAAACTAAATTTATCTGAAATATGTCGTATAAAATATGTAGACTGTGATTTAAGTCATCCCATTGAACCTAATGCAGTTCTGATTTATTGAGCCTACTAAGATTCTGAATAAA